GTCGGCGGGGTTGGTTTCAGATGAGGCCTCTCCCCGTGGCTTGGAGACGGACATCTCCCTGTGTCGTCATGTGGCCTTCCTTCTGCATATGTCTGCATCCTAGTTTTCTCTTCTTACAAGGACACCAGTCAGACTAGATTAGGGCCAAGCTTAATGATCTTAGGTAATCTTAGTTATATTTTGAAATACCCCATCTCCAAATACAGGCACATTCTCAGGTACTAAAAGTTAGGTCTTCACAAATATCATATGATCTCACCTAGAAGTGGAACCTAACCAACAATACAAAGATGCAAGGAAAATAAGACCAGCAACACTGAAAGGAAAAGAAAACAGAGACAACAGGGAAGGAGGGAGCGCGGGGGGGGGGCTGGTGAAAAGGAAGGGAAGGGGGAAGTCAAGGAACATATAGCAAGGACTCATGGACAAAACCAAAGGGGAAGAGTTGAGGGAAGGAGGGGGCCAGGGAAAGTGGTGGGGGGTAGGCAGAGACAAATGTATTTGAAAAAATAAATTAATTTTAAAAAAAGGTTAAGTTTTCAACATAGGAATTGGGAGACATAACTCAGCCCATAACATTCTTAACTCTTCGGTTTTTTACTTTTATTTGACTCTACTCTTTTCGCTTTCCAATCACTCCCCATTGCTGGCTCTGCTTGCAACCATTCACAATATGCCTTCCAACATGCCTGTTCAGTGGTAAAGGTGACAGAGGTATCCACTGCTCATTTCTGGGTATACTGTCATGTGTCAGTCTGTCCCCAGAGTGCCAGCTCATTCTGCCAGTTCTCAACTCAATAATGAGTCGAGAAATTTGGGGATAACATCTTCTATTGGAACCGTAACTGCCAAATCTATTGAGCAGTCTTAAAACTTAGGTCAGTGTAGACTCCTTCACGGTGGAGCCCAAAGGACCTTCTGTGTTCCTTTGGCTCTTTCTCTGATATTCCCAGATTCTCACACACAAAAACCCCATTATTTCACTCAGAATTGTTTTATACTCCTCAGGTGACCTTATCCCCACTGGCCAGTCCTGAGGTCCTTTCCTCTATGCATGATGTCGGTAAATAGTCACACCCGTCTGGCAGTAACGAGACACCCTCCCCCTCCCCACAGCGGTGCTGTCAGAAGCCTAGTAGAGAGCCAGGACTTTCAAATCACCCAGGCGTAAGCAGGCCACCCCCACTGCACTGTCAGATTTTACCCCCATGTGACAGTGAGGACAGAGCAGCCCCTTCCTCCCTTGATGGAGCAGTGTCTAAGAGAGCCAACAGAAAGTGTATTGGGAACATAATAGACCCACATAAATATAGTCAACTGATCTCTGATGAAGGAGCAAAGACAATGCGATGGAGCAGAGAGAGTCCTTTCAACATAAAGCTCTGGGACAACTGGACATCCACATGCCAAGAATAAATAAATAAACCTAGACACAGACCTTAGATCCCTCACAAAAATTAGCTCAGAATGAATCACCGACCTAAAGGTGACATAAAAGAAAACTATGTGACCCTTGGTATACCAAGGGTTTCTTAGATACAACACCAAAGCCGCAAGCAATTAAAGAAACAACGGAGAAGCTGGACATTATTAAAATTAAAACTTTGTGTTCTGTGAAAGACAATATCAAGAGGATGAGAAGATAAGCCACAGGCTAGGAGAAAATAATTGCAAAAGACACATCAGGTAAAGGACTGTTATCCAAATTATACAAAGAATTCTTAAAATTCAACAATAAGAAAACAAACAACCGATTAAAAATGAGCCGAAGACCTTATCGCATACCTCACCAAGGAAGATGTGCAGATGGCAAATGAGCATATGAAAAGAAGCTCCACGTCATACGTCATCAGCGAAATGCTAATTTAAACAACAAGATACCACCACACACCTGTTAGAATGGCCAAAATCCAGAACAGTGACACCACCAAATGCCAGCAAGGATGTGATGCTGGTCGGAATGCAAGATGGTACAGCCTCTTCAGAAAACAGTGTGGTCGTTTTTTACAAAACTAAGCTTACTCTCACCCTATAATCAGATAATTATACTCTTTGGTATTTGCTCAAGGGAGTTAAAAACAGTCCACACAAAAACCTGCCCATGAATGTTTATAGCAGCTTTATTCAAAATTGCCAAACTTGGAAGCAACTAAGATGTCCTTCATCTTAGTCAGCTGGGGCTTAGTCACCATACAGTGGGTGGTTTATAAGCAACTAAAATTTATTTCTCACAGTTCTGGAGGCTGGAAGTCTGAGAGCAGAGTGCCAGCAGGGTTGCGGTCTGGTAGGGACCCTCTTCCGGGCTGCAGACTGATGACATTTTGTTGTACCCTCACGTGGAGTAAGAGGGCTAAGGAGTTCTCTGACCTCTTGTATTTCCTTTTCCCCCTACAGAAGCTTTATTGGGTTATAACTGACAAATGAAGTATGTATTAAAGGTATAAAACATGATCTTTCAATATACATATCGTGATATGATCACCACAAACAAGCTAATTAATGTATTCATTGCCTCAGAAACTCTCTGAGCAAATTTAAGTAAAACAATAGTTATTAAATACAGTCACCATGCTCTACACTAGATCTCTAAAATGTATTCACCCCGTATTCTAAAACTTTGGATCCTTTAACCAACATCTCCTCCATTCCTACCCCTGCCCCTAGCCCCTGGCAACCACTATTCTATTCTCTTATGAATTTGACTTTTTTTAGATTTCACACGGTCAGTGAGAGCTTGGAGTATTGGTCTGTTTGTGCCTGGCTTATTTCACTTAGCATAGTGTCATTCAGTTCATCCATGTCACAAGTGGCTGGGTTTCCTTCTTTGGTAGGGCTGAATAATACTGTTCTCGATGTATCACATTTTCCTGATCCACGCATCTTTTGATGGGCATGAGGTGGTTTCCCAGTCTTGGCTGTCGTGGGTGGTCTTGTGGCGATCATGGGAGTGTAGATATCTCTTCGAGGTACCGATTTTATTTCCTTTGGGTGGATGCCCGGAAAAGAAATGGATGGATCATACAGTAGTTCTATTTTTATTTTTTTCGGGAATCTCCATACTGCTTTTTTTTTTTATTGGCTATACCAATTTACATTCCCACCACGTGTCCAGCGGTTCCCCTTTCTCCACATCCTCATAAACACTTTATAATAGCCATTCTAACAGCTGTGAGGTGACAGTTTTATTGTGGTTTTGCATTTGATTTGTGACAATTAGTGACATGAAGCACTTTTTCATATACTTGTTGACCATTCATATATCTTGTCTGTTCAGGTTCTTTGGACATTTTTTGATCAGATTGTTCATTGTTTTAGTATTGAGTTTTGTGAGTTCCTTAGGTATTTTGGATATTAACCCCTTAGTGGCTATATGGTTTGCAACTTTTTTTTTCTGATTTTTCCTTCTTGTCCCTAAGGCTGCAAGTCTGCAGACAGACGTCCTTAGAAAGTCAATAAATATTCAGTGTTCATTATTACTGCTTCATGATGATAATGGCAAACATCTTCGTGTGCCTCTTTGGAGGAACTAAGAATAATGTTGGAAAGAACTAGTTTCCAGATATATAAACAGACTGTCTTACATTTAGCGAGAATATGAGAACAATCACCCTCTTAAAAAACATAGATTATGGTATTCATTAAAGAAAACATTCACAGTGCTGGCACTGTGTCTGCGTGGGCCTGCAGGTTCATCAGATGGATGTGGCCAGTGCAAACGGTCTGCTCATCTTCCCAAAAGAGAAATATTGTGAAGGTCAATGTCTTACCTCAGGAATATTTGGGGCCCTTCCATTATAATTAAGAGCTGAAGTTGTCATTCATGACTGTAACAGAAATTGAAAAAAGTTTATTTTTGTAAAAGATACAAATCTAAACTGTAGCATTTCCATTGCTTACAAAGTCCTCATATAGCATATTTACAAATATATAAATATATATATAACATATATACTTACAAAGATACAGAATCACACATGCTGTGTGTGTGAGAGAGAGTGCGCACGCGCACGAGAACCTCATGTTCAGGTCCAGGGTGTGCATAGCTCTAGTTGGCAATGTATGTGGACAGTCAGAAAAAGGCTGGTTGTCCAGCATTTCTCCTGGGTGTGGCCCAGGATTGAAAGGAAAAGGTCCTGGACTAGTTCAGCGTACGAGTAAGTTAAAACAGAATTGGAAACTTGTTTCAGCACCTCAGTCTGTGGGAGATTCCGGTGAGAACTCAACGTTTCCAGTCCAGCAGCATCGTGAATGAACTGAAGGGTCAAAACATGAGCAGAAATCGTAGTTAAAGAGGAGTGATGGGCCTGGGATGTGCATTTCTATTTAATTTGGATGTCTCATTCCTATATAAAATGACAACAGTACACATGAAAATAGTTGTGCAAACATTGTGCAGTAAAAAGCACAATATAAAACTACACTGATCCCAGTGAGGGTGTTGTAAACTCCATGGATGAAGGCAAAGGTCAACAAAAGTGCGACTGTGTAAATGAATCTTGACTGTCTTGAAAACAGTAGAAAGACCTTTCAGTCAAAGAGAAAAGTTCTGTAAAGACACAGAGGCTTGAAACGCCCAGGAGGGTTTAAAAACTGACAACAAATTTGCTTGGCCTAGGAATCAAGACAGGATGGGATGTGGACAACCGGAAATGAGGCAGGGACCCTCAAGTATTGGTCATGCCATTCTGAGAGTTGCGCTTGAAACAAAGTTCATAATGAATGAATGAATGAATGAACGAACCACTTTTTCCACTACTCATACATTAAATCTCAATGTTTAAATATTTCATATTTAATAATTTACTAGTTGGCACTTTGGCTTGTTGGAAAAAAACCGTGTGCTCACTATTTTCTGTACTCTATGTATGGCTAAGCTTTAATCTGTTATGGTCACAGTTAGAAACCTTCTTACTAATGAGCACCAAAAGTTGAGAGTTCTTAAAGTTAATATATAGACAAATGTTCACATATATTTGTGTTTTTCTTTTTTCTTTTTCTAGGGTCAGACATTGTTCAATGGTTAATAAAGAACTTAACTATAGAAGATCCAGGTAAATAAATCATTTTCCCATTGATAGAACTATTTTTTTTGTGGTTTTAAGAAATATGTTTCTCAGGGCTAATATGACAAGCAAGCAAACCTGAAAAATCACAGTTACACTTAACTATGCTTGTAGCATTTATACAGAATTTATTGTAGTCAACGTATATTTATCTGAAATTTATTTAGTATATGTTTACAACTTTTCATGTGTTTAACATTCCATTTTATCAAATTTGATTCAGGTGATTTGCAATTGTTAGAATGGATGAACTATATACATGATCATGAATAATTGAACAAATAATTTATAGTGACTGATCATGAGGTAATGAAATTTCCCTTCATAAGTCACAAATCTCCTTAATTTATAATTTCGCCTTAACTCCGTTTTTGCATGAGGTTTGAAGACAACGTTATCTCCCATGATGCCCACTTGATTATTTTTAATGCTGTGATTTAAGTCGCAGAGTCATCCCACAACGTGGTGGACATTGTGTCTATTCTGCAACACTAGCCTTGCCCCCAGAGTCTGGGAACAGTGTTGCGTGACTTAGAACAAATTCCTACGTATGCGACGTCTACTTAATGACTTTTTAAAAATACCTTGTAAGAGCCTTCATATGAGGCAACCAACTCACATTACTGGAATGACAATAAGGGGTTTTTGTTTTGAGAAGACGCCAAGAGAAGGAAAAAAAGGGGATTATAGTGACTGAGAACGACATGGCAGAGAAAGATGGCAAACCTCTAACCACACAGCCTCCCTCCCTCTGATTAGGAAAGAATTCGGTATGGCTCCACTCCTGCCTTCGATCGCCAGTACACGGGCATGCCAAGTTACTATTTTTCTTCATTTTGAGCTAACCGTGTAAAGCCATGCTATCATAAAAGGTAGCTCTAAATCTAACTGCCTGTGTACATCCGCTGTTCCTTTGGTACATGAGCTTTTAAAACACTAATCTAAGCAGGTCAAACAGAATTAAAACAATTAAGTCAAGATGAAGCCCTCCTGTCGGCATCATATTATTACAAAGGGAGAAGAGGTAATGGCTATTGGGAGAGGAAGCCATAGTCTTACACAGTTTACATCGTAGCCTCCATTTAGTGGCGTGTCTGACTTTATAAACTGTAGCACCAGATGAACAACACCCTGCCCAGCCCCCACCAGAAAACCAGACTGGTACAATCATTAGTAATGAGAAACCTACTGATTTGCAAAGAATATTATTGCTCAACGGGTGAACTTGATTCAAAAGAATACTTTTTGTAAGTTAAAAGTCTATTTCAATGACAACATGAGAAGCAGGGAAATTATACAGATATAATAAGCTAGTAAGACACAATTACTGCTTCTAATGCATATACGAGATTATTATAGCTAGAATGTGTATAAAAACCAATTTTATTTGCTTGTTTAACAGTTGAAAGATGTTTCAAAGCTTCATTTGAATACATATAAAAAGATAAAATCAATCGTATCTGGGAAGAACCATACATATCCTTTAGTCATATTTATGACGGGCTGAAAAATTAGCTTTTGTTTGGTTGGTTGTTTTATTTTTTTTTTAATCAGCTAATTTACCCTCTACAGAGTGAAAAGTTCTACGCTAGATTTTAAGATGTGTAGATTTCAATTGATTATTGCTCTGAAGATATAACAGATTTTGCCCATAGAAAATGAATCAACCTGGCAGCATGGTTCTAATTAAATATGGCCAAGAACAGAGGTGATATTATGAAAGTTACTTTCGTGGTCACAGGGATGAAATTGATCATAACATTTAGAACTGCTCATGAAGAAAGGCTAAATAGTTACTGTAATGCCTGGTCTACTTTTAATCCTGTAAGTTACCTGAACATATTTCAAAATAATAGAGACCCATGCCAGACCCATGCGTTTATCTGGTGGTCGGGTGGTTGTTCGAAGACCTCTGGAGATTACCAAAGTGCTAGATATCGGTGATTTGTTGAAAGAGGGTTGCGTGGCAAGTTGGAAGAAGAGACTAGTACCTTGCCAGGGCAGCAGGTTCTGATGGCCCTTCAGAAAGAGGGGGGAGGGCTGCCTGCTCTTCAGGGTCTTATCCAAAACCAATGAGTCCAGGTTATTTGTACATTTAATATTCAATATTTCATTAATGAGTAGTTAGCAGATTTTCATTTCTATGACAGCAATTCGGTGCACATTTGGCTGGATATTTCTTAGAGATTTTTGGTACTGGTAGACAATCGGTCATGTTGCATTATTCATTTAAAATAAAGCTAGAGCTGGGCCTTTCATTAGAATTTAGGATGATTTTTAGCTGTGTCTATGCACACAGATATTTAACATATTCATATAATACACATGCAGAATTAGTCTAAAACTTTTATTTATTTCTACCTCGAGTCCATTTTCCCATTTTACATTTTTCTAAAACAATTAGTTTCTTCATCACTTATCTACGCTTCTGTGCATTTAACACACACATCGTTACCCTGCGTCAGGCACCGGGAAGACAGGGTGAGCCCTCCCTCCTTGGGTGGCGTCACTCGCCGGCTTCCGGTGTCCCGCTCTCGGCCTCTCTCCTTTCCGCTGCCCACACAGCCAGCCCTCAGTCTGCCGCGATGGCCCTCCACGCCCCAGCTGACCCATCAGTGTCAGCATGTCCAGATTGCTCGCCTAGGTACCTTCCTTTTCTCCATATGCACATGCTGCTGCGTGACATGTGCTAGGGACTCCCAGACATAGAGCTTCCGTGATGACCCCTCCTTGGTGCTCCAGACTAGCCTGTCTGATGCCTGTGTGCCCTCTCTTCTGAAGCATGACCCAAGTAGAGCCCGGATTTACTCCCTCTCAATCCTGCCTCTTCTTATCTTCCCCAGGTCGTTTACAGGGTCGAGTCTTCTATCCAAGAACATGCGGTGTCTTTCCATGTGTTCAAGCTTGCTTTGTGGTCTTTTTGGTGTGTTTTCACATATAGTTTCCTCATATAGGTTTTGCATGTTTCTTATGTGTATTCCTCATTATATTACATTATGTTACTGTGGGTTTTCCTTTCCATCTAATTGTTATTGTATGTACATACAAAATTACTGATTTATTTATGCTAATTTTATATAATACCACTTTACTAAATTTTATTTTTGTTGTATTTTTAACTAATACATCATAAAGCTAGAATACTTCTTCTAGCAGTTCATGAGGATTGTATGTTGTTCAGTTTCTGAGCCCTGGCGTACCTGACAGTAACTTTTGTTGGCTGTGTGTATGTTGACAGTTTGGCTCCATATAGAGTGGGAGAGATAAACTTGCCTCTTTAAAACACTGCAGATATTGAATCTTTGCTCTCAACATTCACTATACAGGCATATATATATATGAAATTTTTATGTGTATAATTTTCCATATACATCTTTTTCACCTGCCTAGGCTCCTATATGTCTTCCCTCCCTTTGAAATTAAAAATATAGGTACTTAATTGCAAGGGGTTTATACATTTCTTTCCTTTTTTCTTTCTTTTTCTTTTTTTTTGGTGTACTTGTATTATCTGTTCAATCATTGAAGTCTGTTGATTCAGGTGTGCTTAAGTTGAAGAAACAATTTCCTGTTGTGTTAATTAAGCCTCATTTTCGAAAATGGGTATAATAATTGTGCCTATTTCATGCTTTCCTGAAAATTAGAGAATTAATATATGTAATATATAGAGCAGTTATTACTGTACCTATTACATAGTAATTGCTCAGAAAATAATAATAATTATAGTTTTAAATGTATTTTGGGTGTTATATCTAATTATTATTTTGTATAACAAACCACCCGCAAAGCAGTGGCTTAAAATAAACAACAGTTCTGTTTAGCTCATGATTCTGTGGCTCAGCTGGTCACTTCCTGGCTTGGGTCCCCTTGGCCGATTCATGCTGGGCTCTCAGCTGGCGGGTGGACAACCTAGGACGTGGGGCATATGTGGTACCTGGTAGGCTGTCAACTAAGTACCTCTCGTCTTCTCCCCTGAGCCCTGCCTTCTTACCATAGTGTGTTTAGGCTTCCAAGCACAACACAAGTTTCTGCTTGTGTCACAGTTACTGTTGTTTTATCTGCCAAGGCAAGTACCACGGCCAAGTTCAGAGCCATTCTAGGGAAGGGCTATCTAAGACCATAGATGTGGAGGGGTGATAACAAATTGGGACCTTTACTGCAACAATCTTTTATATATATATATATTTCTCTGCTTTTCAAAGCTGCCAATTCATAATCTATCCTACTCTCTTTTGGCTTGGGTTTGCAACACTTATCCTCCAGAACATGTGTATTTTTTTTCTTAGTAAACATGCTATCTGTCCGACACCATGCCACATTAAGTATGGCTGATATTTCAGGTAAATTTGGGAGCTTTCATAAGTTTTGCATTCTTCACAAAATGACCAGCAGACATCAGTAAGTCCTTGACCTCAGCCTGCTCGTTTGCAATCCCTGCTGCCTCTCACTGAAGGGGCCACCAAAGTGATGTTAACCAAGGTGGGGGAGGTACGTGAAGACCCTCTCAGTCTTAGCAACAGCTACAATTTGAAGTGAATCTCTCTATGACCCCCGGATATCAGAGAATTTTATGTATTTCTGTGATCCCGGAGCGGCACCCTGCTTTCTCTACCTTTCTACTTTTTTCCATCAGCCTGTGCTTCTTGAGATCCCAGTATTCCTTGAGAGGCATTGGGAATGACTCATGGGCTCCGCAGACAGACTTGAGCTCAAATCCTGACTCAAGTAATTGCTGACTGTGGGGAACTGGGCAAGTTACTTGATTGCTCTTCTTTTTTTTTTTTTTTTCTTCATTAGTAAAATGCTTTCAATACTGTGTTTGGTGAAGCTTAAGTGAGTCAACATGCAAGTGTGCCAAAATCTTGGTTTTATTTTAATCAGGTCAGATTCCTTTGAAACTGTGAACATTTGCAAGCACATTTAAGTAAATTGAATTCTTTATAAATGCATGCAATTTTTATACTAGCTTTCAAGCTCAACCCATTTTATGA